AAATACTATATTTAATTATTTTTTAATTTTCTCCAGTTTTGCTCTGTTGTTGTTTCTTTTCCCTCGTGTGGTTTTTTTCCAGGGAATGTAACGTACAGTCCAGCTGTACCTTCTCAGACCTCTTATTTGAATCTCTCTGCAAAATTCAGGCAAACACCATGCAGTCATTCTGAGAGCCCTGAATACGTGTGACAGCCGTTTGAGGAACAAATCTCGACACAGCTCTCTCCAGCATGCGAGGGAGCTGTTCTCCAGCCATCCGGCGAGGTCACAGCTGAGCAGGTGAAGGCACATGTCGTTTCACACACAAAAGGAGAACTACTCGAACAGAGGATCCTCAGCTGCTCTGTGGGTCAAGAGCCATCAGCAGCTGCTTCTGCTGGGTGCACCAGACACGTGGAGCACTCTTCCCGGTGCCTGTGTTGCGCTGCTGTGGCAGACACGGGGGGTGTTGCAGAGCCACCAGAAACGGGTGGCGTGTCACCTGCAGACAGCCTGGGCTTTGGCTGCCATCTGCCTCCGGGTGAAAGGGGTTCCTCCCCCGAAATGATGCAAAGGGACGGGAAGGCCACGATCAGAGGAAATCCCTTTGGGTTTCAAAGCAGCTGTGGGCTTGTAAACCCTGCTGGGGCTTCCTTCTGAGCTAACCACACGTCTACACCGCCATCACTTCGAAGCCCCAGTCTGCACGGGCAGCGAGGCAACGCAGAGCCAGGACGGGAATTCTGCAAAGTGGGAACACGCACCTGGGCAAGGGTCCCACGGACTGAAAATGCCAAAATCACTTTGCTTATTTTTACATGATCCCCTGGCTTGTTTGTTTACCTGCAGGCTGAAATATTTCCGAAGCATTTTAATTCAACAGGCACCAGGGACTGTAGGTCTGTGTTGAGAACAATGTTCTCATTGGGCACGCTATGTATTCGTTTAATATAAATGCAAATGCATTTTCCTGTGACTAATTGTCGAGATTAATCCAATTTGTTTTCATAAAAAGCCAACACCATTTATTCAGACTTGCTAACACTGTGCTGTACCTCCTGAGCAAAATCCTGTCGGGGTTTATTTAAAAACAGCTATTTAAATTAGGATGCTTTTGGTACGCTCCGGGCCATCTGTGAGTAGTTTAGATAAAGGTGAGTAATTTAAGTAAAGCTGTGAATTAATTGCAAGGGCTCTGCGATTCTGCATTATGAACTTTTACTTCTAAGCAACCATAATTTCTGATCTGTATCTAACTTTTAAATGCTGCTGTAAGATCTTGGTTTCAGTGCAGCTAGGCAAGAACCAGGGCCCACAATTAGATCTGTGTCACTGTGATGCAGTGCAGTACCAGTTAAAAAAACCGCCCTGAACCCAGGCTGCTCGTGGCTCCACACTCATTTATCCTTCTAGCAAGAGCTAAGACAGCTCGAGCAAACACAGCCTCTTTATCAAGCACTAGCTAACCAAGTTTCCTCCGGTGTCGGCAGCATTGTCAGTCCTCAGCTGGAGACAGATGACAAACCAGAGCCTCGGCTCCGACGCTGACCTTCAGCGCAGGGCTGCTGACTACCGCTCACTGCAGAGTGGCTGCAAAGCCATCATGCTGTTTATTAACTTACAGCTCTAGGAAGCCATGAGATGCTTCACGCAGCTACTTGCTCCTCAGCTGCTTTTCCCCATGTAAGAAGTTGCTCTCTATGAGCAGTTCCCTGAGCAGCCACATTTCGTGCTGCCTTGCAGCGCTCTCTCATTAGCAGCTGCTAAAAAACTTCTCACTTCCAGCACTCCTAGTGCCTTTGGCATAACTGTACCCAACCCATGGTGAAGGTGGGCGGCTCAGGAACTGGCACCTGCATCAACCAAGCCTGTCGGCACCATCCGAGGCAGTGCAGCTCAGCCCAGCCCTGCTGTGGACAGACACTAACCCCAGCCGTGCAGCAGTCCGGCTCCTCCTCATCACCCTCTTGGATTACCTTGGGGATGATTTTTTTTCTTTTCTTTAGGATCTTTCCCCATCACTGTAAATTGACCTGTGGCATTACAGTCACGAGCTGGTTACGGCAGCACATGCACTCCTCTGTAAGGGCATGCAATCTTCAGGCTGTGCTAAAAGCGGGAGGAAATCAATCTAGATATTAGCCACTTGGCTTTCCATCAGTTGTTGAGGCACCTTTGCACAAGCTCACTCCTAGGACTGTTAAAATAAAAGATTGTGAGGGTGACGGTCATATTCTCATGGGTACAGCAATAACCTGCTTCACACGCATGTTGATTCTGACTCTCAGGTCTTCAGCTGACACTTCTCTTTTGAGAGACTGGCACAGCTCAAAGTGTCCACTGACATTTTACAAACAACAGTAAGAACCAAGGCTTTGGGTAGATAGCAAGCTGCAATCCGAGAAGGGGTTTTTACACAATGAATGGAGCAGAAACACCTTCCCCCAAGGCCCCTACCAAACAAGATATGTCTACGATAAAGCCTGCCAGAGAAGCAGCACGAGTGTGTCTGGCACCCTGCAGAATCTATCAGGTCTAGGTCAGCAACACACTGCCCCGAGTTCAAACCTCACAAACAGTTAAGGCAGAAAAATATCTCCTGATGTCAGCAAACAGCTTCTGTCGTACACCGACAGCAGCATGATCCTGGTGTTACACAAATGGCAGGAACCCTCCTGGAATTACAACACAGCCAACAAAACTCTGACCAAGCAGGGAGTCTGTCCGTATTTAAAATGCACGTCAGATATCTCATTTTGATGTAATTTCTTTTCTTTGTGCCTCCTCATATAGGAAAAATTTCAAATCACTCCTATTTACAGTGAGCAAAGTTGGGTTTCAAAAGGAAACAGCTTGGTTGACTATTTCCAGTAAACTCCTAAAACCTGCAGGATCCATGAGTGCTCTGCCATGAAGCAGATGATGCTTCTTCTAACCAAGTACTTGGTGCATCAACACTGTTTATTACTGAATTTTTGGTTTTTACTACCTCCGCTAGAAAATAAAGCTTATTATTTAACCTCTAGTTTCAGTGTCTAAACTATGTGGTTATTATCCTGATCACTGAATTATTTTTTTAAGCAAAATATTTGAAAGAAATGTTCTTTATTTGACAGCTATCAGGTGGTAAGTTGCTCTTTTAGGCAGGGAAGTTTTTTTGTTTTTCTAGCGTGGCCATATTATCTTGAGACATACAAAAATGATTTCTCCTAAGAAAATAAGCCAACAGGTGCCACACACTTGGGGGACAGCAGATCTTCCAGGTCCTGCTCCTGGCTGCAGACAAGACATTGCCAGCATCAAGTTGTCTTTGATAATGCCTTCGACCACAGTTATAAATTTTGATCAGTACTGAGGGAGGAGAATCTAAACCCAGTGTCTGAACATGTCTGGAGCTTGCCCAACTTCACGCTTGATATTACACCAGCAAAACGCCCAGCCCATGTTTTTGTATAAGTAACTGTGATTGGACTTACCCTTGGCCAATTTTTTCAAATCGAGTGTATTTCTTCTTCGGATCTCCCACACTCACAATGCTCCCTGAAAGAAACAAAACGAAAGATGCTCATTTAAAAATGGAGAGAGCACCGTCCAGCAGATCGGAAATGCAGCCCCAGTGCCCAGGGTTGTGAGCTGTCTGGGGTAACGACAACACAGGCAGCTCCGCAGCACGGATGGCCTCCACAAAGACTGATTTTCTACAGTCCTTTGGAGAGTCACCTAGACAGGAAACTAAGAACGTGGAGAAACATTCACAAGAGACAGATACCAGAAAAGAACAAGTATCAATGCAAGGGTCTGTTCTTTATAAGCATTGATGAGAGCAGGAATCACAGAGCCTGCGTTTTCGTAGGAATAAATACTCTGTGTGATTCAACAGAAGGTTTAATACTTCTGAAGATTAAATGCACCTTGGGTTCTGGAATCAATTTTTATCAACAGGTGCCATGTTCAGAACAGGAAGAATATTGCAAAGTGTTTCCAGGAGAGGATCTTCTCAACCTTTCAGCAGTTTGCCAAGAGAATGTCTTTATGATTTTCAAAGAACAGCATCTCACGCTACAATCAATAATTACGGGGCTTTAAGAGCTATGACCCTCGTAATTTATTACCAGGCTAAGTCTGAAGCAGACCTTGCCATTTAAAGAACCACCCTGACAGTAACTAGCGTTTGGCTGGCGCTCTCAGCACTGCACGCTCAGCACAGCCGCGACGGGGAGCACGGCCGCGACGGGGAGCACAGCAGCGATATCCCCCGGCGCTGGCGTTACACACACAGCCGCACGAACGGGATGCTGATAATTCCAGGAGCACAGGTGATGTGATCCAGAAGCCAGGCCAGACGGGGTGCTGATAATTCCAGGAGCACAGGTGATGTGATCCAGAAGCCAGGCCAGACGGGGTGCTGCCGCCTCCCGGCAGCTCTGCGCGGCAGCAGCGGGAAGGCAGGGACAGCCCGGGCGGCACACGGCGTGGGACAGTCCGGGGCCACCAGCCACAGGGGAGCTCATGTGCCACTGAAAGCTAAAATGAAAGCACACGCTGCCTGACGGCTTTTTGCCCGCTCAGAGGTACAGGCAGTCTGAATTGGAAGGAAAGGAGGCAGTAATTAGGATAATTTGTGTGGAATGAAAGAGCCAAAATCTGATAACCTCAAACAGATCTGAAGGAGTAATTAAAAAAAAAACCAATAGAGTTTTTTCTGATCTGGTAGTTTCCTAGATAAAATACAGACAATGAAGCCTAAGGTGATGGCTCAATGCAAATGACTTTTAAAGATTTAACTCGGAGCGCACAGTACATTAAGAAGATTAGTTCAGGGGGAAGACTTCCAGTGCTGTGCAGTGTATTTTGTTTGGCTGATCTGGCAATATTCCTGTATCACAAATACAAACACGTACTTATCTGTTCACCCGTGCATCCAAAACAACACGAGGTGCTGCCCCATTCAGGGTAAACAGTAAGAACCATCTCTCTCCCCCGTTGAGGCCGTTTTCCTGGAGCAGAGGGCTTTCACATCCAACCGGGGATCTCACTGGGTGCCTAGCCAGGAATCCTGTCTGCCAGCACAGCAAGAGGACGGGGCATCAACACCATCTGGTACACTCCCCGCTGAAACCATTTGCTGGCCTTGGCACGATGGCTAAGGGGAGCTGCAGAAGAGGTTTCCCTCGCCCCGCGGTGCTCGCTCCCCTCACCCAGCACTCCAGGAATACCCGCCAGCGCCACGGCCGATGGCAGCGGGGGTGCCTGGCTGAGGATGCTGGATCTGGCTGAGGATGCTGACACAGGCAAAAAGAGCCTGAAGCGGTCCTGCCCTGCTCTGCCAGCCTGTGAGACATCAAGTCACTGGGTTGTCTGAGAGTCCAAGCCAAGGATGTCCTGCTTTCAGGACCTGGTTAACTTTTTGTAGTTTCATCTCACTGAAACGTATAAGGTAAGCTGGAGCTTTCGTTCTGCTTCTCTACAGTGGGTCTCCACTGCAAAATAACTCTTCAGTCAAGAAGACTCTGACCAGAGGACTCTGGAACTCCCTTTTAATGGACTGGAAGAGGGAATGTAAGGACATGAACCTGTTGGGGTGGGTCCAGAGGAGGCCACAAAGATGGTCTGAGAGCTGGAGCACCTCCTGTGTGAGGACGGGCTGAGAGTTGGGGTTGTTCAGCCTGGAGAAGGCTCTGGGAGGGTGTCAAGGCCAGGCTGGATGAGGCTTTGAGCAACCTGGGCTAGTGGGAGGTGTTGGCAGGGGGTTGGAACTAGATGATCCGTAAGGTCCTGTCCAACCCAAACCATTCTCTGATTCTGTGATTCTATGAGAAGGCATACCCTCCTGCTCACACTGCTGCAATCCTGTGCTGGGCTGGACAACAGGAAAAACGCTGCGCTGCCGGTGTCTGGCTACGTGCTATTTCCAGCTAGTTAATGGAACCGTGTATCTACTGGAACAGATACCAGAAGTTCATGGAAGTTCACGTTAGAGAAGAATAAAGAAGACTGCAGAGCAAATATTTTGAAAAATAATTTTCCAAATTTGCCACTGACTTTGCAGTTCAGACCTCCAGGGTCTTTCCTCAAAATTTGACTAGCTACTCTCACAAGTTAGCTGTTTGTGGTTGGTTTCCTGTGCTTAAGCCAATGCACATCAAATGTGACAGCATCAAAATCAACAAAGTGACTGCTACATGGCTCCAGTTCCGAGAAGCGCTCCCTACGCTGGACAAAAGACAAACACATCAGCTATTTCAATGTCTTTAGAGCACGTTCCTTTATCAAGTCCTAAATCAAGCAGATAAGAAAGCAGAATTGTGCCACTTCTGTTTTATAATTACAGTGGCACATATTCATGATTTCATTACAGACAGAATTTTGTTTGATCTTATCTCAATGTAACAGGCTTTACTCCCTAGTAAAACTCGCAAGGGAAGTGGTTCTAAAAAAACCCAAGTTATTTCAAGCAGAAAAGAATTACGAAAGCAATTTAAGATAAAAGAGGACACGGGACATCTTCCTAAAAGTAGCATAAAATCAGCTGTGGGGGAAGATGGCACAGTGGAGAAGTCACATGAGTTAAAATAAAACACAAAAAAACCCAACCACCACACGTGCTTAAATATAATTAGCCCAGGACTATAACAAAAAAGCATCACCTCCGTTCTCAGCTAGCTTCATGAGAGCACAAAAAGATTTTCATTGTCCACATCACAACTCGCCCGAGGCAAACCTTCAGACCTTGCTCACTTGGTATCAAATTCTTAAGAAAAAGCATAAAAGCAGGTAACATTCCAAAGATACAAACCACAATAACTCGAGGGCTCAGTCCTAATCTAGCATACACAGAAGCCCGAATAAACGATACACATATTTACGTGCACATCCGCAGGGTACCTGCAGTTCTCATGGTGGGAGCCTGCCTCACACCTTTAGCCGCAGCTGAAGACACTGTAATTCCTCCCTTTATACGCTGACATACCTGCAGGTAACGACCTGCTCTGGAATTTATTTCACTGTGCCCTCGGATGAAGTTATTGAACTTATCCTTTGGATACTCCCTAACAGCACCGAGATTCAGCTCTTTGTAGTCTTGTCAACCTGCTGAAGGTGCATAAAACTCGACACAAGCAGCTGAAATCTGACAGCTGAGGGAGGCTTCAGCCTCTGCAGTCACACCAGCCACCGGTGGCAGGGCAGGTACGGCAAAAAGGCTGGTGGAGGACAAGAAAGAGCATTGACAACCCCTGTGAAGAAGCCACAGCCACACAAGCAGTTGCCCCAGTTAAAGACAGAAGGTTACTGGCTCTGAGATAGAACACAAGGAGGTGTAGATCAACCCACTTCTTGTCCCGACAGCTAATGTCAGACAGAGTAAACTAGGCTATGTGATGAACCCAACAATTTATTATCCGAGAACATCGCACTGGCAGCTACTACGTGCAAGAAGCAGATTAAATTGGTTGTGCTGCAGCATCACATAGGGCTTGATGTGTTTTCCTAAAGTATGATCTGCGCAGGGGTTTGGGGCCGATGGTTAGGATTCTAATAGCATTAACTGGCTGGAAATGAGCTATGACAGAGTGCTGTGTATCTGAGGAGTACACAGTGGATGTGCTGGGGGCTGGCTCCTGAGAAATGCTTGCAGTGCAGTTTCACCTGATCACATCACATAGATGTGTCTCTTGGATACATCTTTCTAAGCATAAAGCTAGGAAATAAAATAAAGATTGTTACGAAAGTATTTTTTCCTTTAGGAGCACACTGGAAACGTCTATTCCTCTCTATCCATGGTGTCAACTGATACTCTTTCAAAGAATTCTCTCTGACAAAAACACAGAATTCTTATAAAAACAAACTCTGATATATTAGTATAAGTAGCACTAGTAACAAGAATCATGAAAATGACGCCAATAGAATATCTGGGGCAGGAGAGCTCCTCGAGGCTGAATGAATCAGCCTAGTGCTGTAGTTGTCTACTGGTAAAAAAAAAAAAAAACACCAAACAAAAAAACAAACCAAACAACCAACACTAAAATCCAACAGATTTCTGCAAGTATTTTGGCTCTGCTGACTGGTGAGAAGTCAGGAACCCAAATATTCTGTTCAATTTGGCCACCAGCACTCAGGAGTTCTCTAGGTCACAGCCTTCTGCTCAACCAGAAACAATCTCTGCTTTTGCCTTTAGCGCAGACGGAAGCTCAGGCCAATCCAAGCCGGCCACAGCTGCCCTTAGAGGCAGAAGGAGCACCCAGAGTGCTCCCTTGCTTCCTCTGACCACAGGAACAGTTTGTGTAGGGAGTTTAAGTGACCCTGTGACACTAAACTGAGGATGAACAGTCGGTACATATAACCCTGAGACATGCACACAGTGCACTGCTTCATCAGACAAGAAACCCAGAATACGTACTCAGCTTCTCTAGGATCTCCTCATCCGTCATCTTGGACTTTTTTCGCTGCCGATCTGTGTTTCTGTACAAAGTGTTTGTGTTTGAGTTTTCAGGCTGGGGAGTGGTGGCTTCTTTAGCTGGTGCTGGTGCAGCGGCGGGTTCGATTACAGAGCGCGTGTAGATCTGTGATAAGAAATTATTTTGTGTCAGAAAAGTGGCTTTCAGAGATGCCCCCGAGATCACATTTGAAACGCAAACCCTCAGGAAGATGCTGTCTGCCACCTCCAGAGCTCTTACAGTGGTTGTGTTGCTGTCCACCTCTTAAACCGAACAGGCACAAACGAAAGGCCAGTTTTACACGAGTTCACGGCCAGGTTCATTTTCAATTTTCATTGATTTTCTGAAAGATGACTGAAACAATCAACTTACTGTGGTGCAAGGATACAGAAATAGATCTGTCCGGGGCCCCAGAGCCTTGTTACTCGATGCTTGTGCGTTTTCCTGGGTAACAAAACGGCTCTTTAGTCGGTATGAAGTGTCTTAATAGAAGCGGGAGCGTTTCCCTTTTCTGATCACAACTGTGGAACTGACTTCTCACTATTTCAAGCTTTAGGGAGCAGCCATGCTCTTATCTGATCCTAAGGACGCTATCAGAATCCCAGGAAACTCGTGACTAAATGTGAAAGCTCAAAACAGCTTTTCCTGGTGTCAGTGGCTTGGGTGAAACACAATGCCAGGGTCGGACTCAAGCCCTCTGATCAGCGAGCGATCGGAAACAGGCAGCTCTGACACCAAACACAGCGCTGACCACAGCCAGGACTTACTGATTTGGTATGTTCAGGCCGTGGTGCGATAACGGGTGGAGGTTCATTGTCATCTTCTTCCTCTTCATCATCTTCATCCTCTTCTTCAGAAACAGAGGGAGCGAGCGGGGGTTCGGATGCTGTTTTTGTGCTCTGTGGACAGACAGCAGCATGAGTGACAGTCCCCATGCTGGCACCTGGGGGTTTGATCACTGCACACAACTTTGGTCTGCTTAGACATCAGAAACCCATCTAGACGTGCCTACATATATCTATATATAGAGAGAGAGTCCTACAGGCTCAGTTCTAAGCTACACGCTGCACAATACAACCGAAAGGTTACAAATGATCACGCTGCTTTGTTAAATTGTCTTGGTGTCTTTTCATTTTTGCTAAAAACAACTAAATCATTCCCATGCTCAGTCAAACTCGAATTTCACAAAACATAATGCCTGAATATATCACTAGAAATCTCATCTAGTTGCTGGTTAATTGCTTTGGCATTGTGACAGCAGAAATGGTAATGGTTAATTAAGCTAACCGGTGTCTACTGGCTAGGTTAATTAACACACTTTAACGTGCAAAGCCTCCTCCGTTGTCTTGCTGGGAATTTGGTTTTGGGGAGAAAGGCTGTTTGTTCCTTCGCTGTTTTACCCACGGGCTGATCGCATTGCCTGTTCCTGCATTGCTGAATTTCCCTGTTCAGCAGCAATTTTTAAGCACCATCCTCCTGCTCCCCTCGTCATAAGTTACCTGCCAAGCCAGGGCGGCCCTAACGAGCAGGTGAATGTTACTGGGTCACACGTCAGATCAGTGTCTGCTTTCCGTGCATCATCAGCACCTTGCTTACACGGGGACAGAAGATGGTTAAGGGAAAAACGAAGAAAGGAATAATCACATCTCTGTTATGTCAAATCCTTGTAACTATTTTTTCCGCTGGGCTCCATGCTTGGTCTGACAGCACTAAATTGTGCAGCTAGAACATATACAATGTCCTATTATTTAATGCCAGACTCCCATTAAGGAGTGAAATGAAATTGAAGTAATTCCAATGACTGCTCGGTCCTGTCAGAGAGTTGTTTTCCCTCTCCTATAATATTCAACCAGCATCCTTGGAGTCGGTAACTTTTGAAAGTCTTGCCTGTCTCACCACTGTCTATATCTGCTAGAACAAAACAGCACAGCATCTGCCAGAGTGTCCAAACCCTCTGGAAAGGCTATTGGGAAGGCTTACTATGCCCTGGTGAACCCCAAACTTCCTTTTATATAGAAAAAAATAAAATTCTGTGTTTTAGTCAAAATAATGAAAGTGGCGCCAATTGAAAATTGGAAGTGACAATATGCAAAGACAATTTTAATTTCATCATGCACACTCTCTGCTGTGTAATCACAAACCTAAAATTAAGTTGCTTAACACTTGAAAATAAAGGCCAAATCCCCATCCAGTCATCTGCTATTTAATGCACTAACATTAACTCTAATAAATCTGGTCAATATTCATGTGGATGTCATGACTACATCTCTGGGACTGCTATGGCAATCCAGCATTAATTAGAGTGGATGATTATTTAAAACTTTCTTTCAATGGTTCCAATGAGTTACATATCAATTATAACCTTATTTATATTCAACTACATCTCCGGCTGTACTAAGGATAAATCATAAAATGTAATAGAAACGGATTCCAAGTTGTTAAAACTACATTAAAATGGGCTAATTAGACAGCATGGCATATTGTTGCGAATTATATATTTCACCACGGCAAAGAACAGCAAGCAGTCTTCTGTCTGCAAAACCAGACTTTCATCTGTTTAAAAGTTCTTAAACAGAAAATTAAAAAACAGCCAGTGAGGCGTTTTCTGCTGCTGCAAAGACACCAAAACGTCCTTTCCGTCAGCCTGCAAAGCTCACAGCTTGCTCCACAATTCTGAAACGCTGGGAAGGTAAAAGGTTACTTCCACACTCACCGAAGGATGGGCTTCTATGTATCCGTGGGCGCTTTTATCTGCAAAGATAACGAGATGCTGTTATAAAACTGCCTGTTGTGGGGAATCCCACAGAACAGGTAAATCCAAAGAGAGAGTATTTTTCTTTCACAGTATCTTTTTTATGTAGCAAGCAAGGTAACAGGACAATATACTAGGTTATTCTTTTTCTGCAATTTGTGTCTATTTTTTGCCTCGTTTTGCCAGTAAATAAAATAAACTTGGTCAAGAAAATGCAAATTGTTATTTAACAGTCAATGCTTTTGTTCCACCCAAGAGCTAACACAGCTTTTTTCTTCTTTTCTTTTTTTTAAACAAATTGCATGCATTGATTCTCTTTAGCTTGCTGAAAAAGTTTCCCCATAAAAGCTTCCCCAAAATCCCCCTTAGCCATGGGGGGCTCTGACAGCACAGGGACAGCTCCTGAGTTCATGAGCATACACTAACTGCTCTGAATTCTGCATTTCATCACAGAAGTAATTGCTATTTTAGCAAACATTAAGTGCCAAGTTAGACAGTCAAATCTTTTAATTACGGAATTGTGTGAGCGGGTGTGTGGTTTGACCCCCAGCCAAGGGCTAACCCATCACAACAGCTAACACAAAAAAACCCCCAAAATTCTCCTCTATCCCAAAGTAACAGAAAACATCCTCCTAGTCTGTAACCTATTGCTCGAAGGATCCAAGATCCATAAAATGCACAGAACAAGTATACCCCGTACCCCAGTCTGAACACTGGGAAGGAGCAAGGATGCAAAGAACCAGAAGTTAATATGAGCTTTGGCCACCAATGCTTCTGACTGAAAATGGTAATGATTGCTCCATCCAGTATCTTATTTAGTTCTAAAAACAAGTGACACAGAAAAGTCAGAGTTTCAATGACATGTAGGGGACAAAAGGAGAAATAGAATTCATTTCAGGAGTATTCCACAAAGTGGAAATTTTTAAGGTTGCTTCGGGACCACTTGAATGTTGAATGTCAGTCTGACTCATTTTGGAGCCTGACAACTCGCTTTTTTTCGCAGCGAGATGTCAACTTACCTCCTGACGTAAAGCTCATGTATTTCTGGTTGTTAACTGTTTCTTTGGAATCATAAAATTTGAGAACATCTAGAACAGCTTGTGGGTTCTTCTTCTGCTCCAGTTTGGTTATGTTGGAGGTCTGTAGTAGCCTGGCCCACTGCTCTGGAATGCCCTGCAGACGTCAAGTGGAAAGAATGCGGGTTTAGAATATTTAACAGATCTTTACCAAGATGCCATGCTACCTGAAAGATTACTTTCAGAAATTTTGATTGACACCTTATCATTTAAATTAGTAGCTTATACATTAGATGCAATCATTCTCTCCTCTATGAAAATACAGAGTTAAAACCAGGATCCAACTTTAAAAAGAAAAGACAGTTATGACTGTGATCAGAAAAAAAGTGCATGAAACCCATCTTTAAATCAACCCTGCTCTTCCATGGAATAATGATTTAAGGCTTAGCTTGTTTTCCTGGTGAGTCAGTGCAGATGTAACAAGACTATTCTATATTTGTGGACAACACAGTGTACATTAGGAGCTTTACACTGGATTTTTAATGCTTAACAATACAAACACATTTTGCTGAAATGATCTGATTGAAAGGTAAACCCCACCCTGATACAACTAATTTTCCGCATACCAGGGAACACTGCGGGGTTAAGAATCTGCATTTAAATTCTCAAAACTGTAATACCGAGTTGTACCACTGCTGCTAAGGATGTCTCTTTTTTGAGCTCTGTAGGTTCTCTATTGTAAATATGCAGAAACCAGGGACTCAGAAAACAGGCTGAGAGTCCCAAAGCCTTGCGTGAATGCTCAGACATCTTACGAGCGAGGGTGGCACTTGAAAATCGATCCAATCGCTGAAAGCTGCAGCTCTGCGTTGAAATTGTATTGATGAGAAATTGCTTTAAATATCCAGTATAATTTCCTAAATTTGAAAGCCTGTAATCCTCCCCATTCACTGCACAGCCAACATCTACCAGCAAACTGTAGGGCTTTACCGAATGAGAAACGAGACCTCGAGTACGTTTAAACAGCCTTGGTGCCACCCCAACCTAGGTAAACACTTTCATATTGCTTCTTCCTAAGAAGTTCTCTACAAAACAATGTGTGACATGGGCCTCCAAAGTCCAGGATTAATGGAAAAAAAAGTGGGATAAGCCAAGCAACAAATCTACTGCACACACATCACCCTGCTGCTGCAGTGCTACGACATCTCAGGCACTTTGATGCAAGATTTTTGGGCCTGTGACGCACCTCTGGGAGCTTCCCTGTGCACATCCGTGAGCCACAGAGATCTGGCTGCAACGGGCGTAAATAAAGAAAGAAAAGAAAGTTAAAACAGAATGTGGGACAACTTAGAAGGTGGTAGGAGGAAACCAACAGGCCAAAATGGGGAAGTCCCATCTACAACGGGAGTTAGGAGGTAGGGACCAAATAGATCAGGTGGTGGAGAGGCTACGGGAAGGCAGGAAACCAGAAAAATCACAACTGTTCCAAAGTTTGGAAGCATCATTCCCCCTCCTCTCTTTTTTAAACCACTTTTTCTCTCCCTCATAAAAGCACATTTCTGAGGATTAATGGCAAGTGATTGGAAAAATGACCTGTGATTTCTTTTTTTAGTTAAAAAATAAAAAGAATAAAGATCTGGGCTTTTGCTGCTTGTCTAGTTTCGAAAGCCAGGTTAGCATTTTTGAATGGCTCTAGGCAAGTTTTTTTTTTCCCCCCAATGGTTCTCCAGCCCCAAGATCACAATTGGCCAGTGCAGTCAAAAAAGCGCAGTGGAGACTGCAGCTGGTCAAACTGGGATTTCACACTGGGAGGCTGGGTATTGTCATAAAGCAAATAATCCGTGTGTATCAGACTGAAAATCAGCACAAGCCTAAAGAAACGCTTCATTAGATTAATAACGTGCAACTTCTTTGAATTTATAGCCACAACTTTCTCCCACTTGCTAATGTCATAATGTGGAAACTTTAAAAGTTGGGTGGGTGATCACATTTTATTCTAGACTGGGGATCAGGAAACTGTTATGAAAATCATGCTTTATGAAACGCACTCCCCAAAGCCCTGCCAATCACACTTCTTCCTCCATTCAGAAAACACAACTGTTGCTTCAAAATAAATGAACACAAACCTCTAGCAGCATGCTCCCGCCCAACAGCTTCTACCAATTTTATTTGGAGTTTAAAAGCCCTCCTTCTTAGCAAACGTGGCTGCTCCAAGCGCAGTGAAATGGAGATACAGCACGCATTCAAGAGCGACACCAAAGCTTGGTGCTCGAGCCTGAAAGCCCAGGCTCAGGAGCCCACGCAGCTTTGATGTGAGATGCACCAAACAGCCATCAGGTGATGCAGCTGGGGGGCGACTGCTGGGCGTCAGGAGATGGCCCAACACGTGGCACGTAACCAGGGACAGACACTATGGGCATGACAACTGTAGTAATTCCAAATTTAAAAAAAAATTTAAAAAATCTATTTGCATATTTATTGGACATTGCCATGGCACTTCCAAACTTTTCAAAGAGACAGGCGGTGTGGTCACTGGACAGTGGGATATTTTTACACGATCGGGATGGTGGCAGTCCCTCCAGCAGGACGTACTCACCACCCACTGCCCAGCTGATACATGGGGTGTATCCAGGTTGGGACAAATCAAACATGCCTCATGTAATGAGTAACGTAAGGCTTGCAGCTGGGATCAGCTGGGAGCTGATAGCTAGTTCTTAATGGTGCAGAAATCCCCTGCCTTTGGCTGACGTTTCACTCCACTAAGGACAGCAGCGTTATGTCCTGTGCCGGCAAGCTGCACGGGGATGTCACCTGTCCCTTGGGTTTGGTCTGAATTGGCGAGAGCCTCTTCCAACTGCAGTGCTGCACTTCTGCGCTCTATGAACGAGGATTAATGTAGAAATATTGTGTAACTGTGAAACAGCAGCCATCTAATGCCCACTGTTTTGAAAAGGAGAAAGATATTGAAAAAGAATTGTGCTACAGCAATAAAGCTGGACATATTTAGCCACGTACAATAGCGTTGTTTTATAAAAGGCCAGGACCTGTGCTGGTGGCACCTGACAATAAATAAATAAATCCCAAATCTCTGATGCTAGAGACTCTTTTGACACACTGGATGACAATAACAACATTACGGGTTAGTGGGTTGGGTGGTGTTGGGTTGACGGTTGGACTTGATGATCCTTCAGGTCTTTTTCCAACCTTAATGGTTCTATGATTCTACGATTCAAACGGATCCAAACCGTCATCTCTGAAGTACTGATAGAGAGAGCTTGTGCTAACCTTGATGTCCCCCCTTTCTGTCACAGCTGGCAGGGACGGGAAACTAACTGGGAACTTCTCCAGCAGTCAGTCTATGAGAGATAGTGACCCATCGTGTTTGCATAGAGCCAGAGGGAAAAAGTTTGAAGCACAAAGTAGAAATAAAGGCAGAGGGATGGATGGATGCATGGATGGATGGATGGAAGGAAGGACAAGAAGAAAGGATGCAAACACAAAAGGGACAAAACAAAAGCAGAAAGTAACAATATAATATGATACCAAGATAACAAGAATGGCACCGGAGATGAACCGGAACAATGTGGCTACAGGGAGAGACAGAGAGGAAAAAAAGAGGAAAACCAGGATAGATAGCAGGGAAAACACAATTTTAAAAGCTTTATGCTATGACCAAAAATGACCACACCTGAGTTTTTTAAATGAGAATTCAATCAAGCCCTAGGGTTTGGCACAGAAAAAAATTTCAAGAAATATTTTAAGTGTAAGATTTTATAAGTGACATCTACTTTAAAAAGGATAATTAACTAGTCCACATATTTTAAATGTAGCTGTATTTCCTAATTACTTAGGATAATCCAATTTCACTATTCCTTTGAAGACATGTTGTCGCTAAATGTATCTTTGTTTTTCTTCTATTGTTAATGTCATTATTACTATTGCTACTGCTACTGTAAAAGTTTCCAGCTTTTGGAGATTTTTTTGAGAAACGAAAGTAGCAATCAAAATAAAAAATGATGAGGAAATCACATTTAGGGCTCAAATTCCGAAAATTACCCATCCTTTGTCCAGGCAGATGATTTGTCCCGTCCTGTTCGGTGTATGCAGCCAGGCAGCACTAGCACACGACAATCTGACACACGGTGAGAACACACTCAGCTCACAGGGTACTTACTCCTGGTGGTATGGGGAGTTGCTAAGGGTTTCTGTCACCTCCACAGGTCAACCAAACGCAAGCTTACTGCCACCTTAGCTTTAAGGATTAACGGTTTCAGTACCTAACTAGTAGTCTGAGAGAAAAAGCTTTGAAGCCCCCTGCAGACTTCAAGGAGCTTCTATCAGACTCACTTTTCCCAACACTTCAAACCCTTTGTCGTGATAGAAGTACTGACTGCTGTTTTATTGATACATAAAGGCCAGAACCGCGCCTGACCACCTAGGCTATGGGCATATTTTGAAGGATATTGAGTTAAAATGAATGGACTGCCACAGTGCTGCCTCTCTCTGGGTGTCTCCAAGGGCTGTCTGCAGGACAGCCGGACTCTGCACGTTGGGGCTGATCCTCTACAGCAAGACATACGCTATGCACATGTTGGGGGGGTTGTGCCTTTCCAAAGACACTGACTAACCAACCCCTGTGGCAGCTTGTGGGACCGATAAAAAACATACACCCACGTTCTTCCTAGTTTTCATCTTCCACAGACACTGCTGACAATCCTTGTAGAAAAAAAAAAATAAAGCAGCCTGAATCAGAAGTAAAACACTCCAAATCCTAAGCCCAACAAATAAAAATCTCTTTTTTCACATCCTGGCTGCTGTCACCTGACATTCTGGCAACAGGAGGTTGTTTTACCACTAAGAAACTAGAAGCCCTGGTAAGTATGCAATACAGCAGTTACTTACTGTGAACTCTCCAGTGACGGCATCAAATCCCACGTGAATGGTATGTTCAAAGTCAGAAGGAAGAGAGATCTCAGGACGTTCTTTCTCCTTCTTCTTGTTGGCTAGAGGCAAAACGTTAACACGCTTATTTTCTGCACAGCTTTTCATTCAAACACGTTCCACAATCAGGTGTGTTCAAAATAGTATTTTAAAAGTGGAAAACGGGTCAATTAACGTACATTTCACTTGACAAAACAAACCCGAGCTAATACAACACCAGCCTAACTGCCAACCCCTGCTTGGGAAGGTCTAGAAGGTGTTATTTCATTTTGGTTTTCTTCCGACCAGGGTCACAGCTGCCAAAGCAAGCTGTTCACGCAGTAGCCCTCTTAGGCTACCTGTAATCAGTAGGATTTCTATTATCAGCTCCTTTTTTCCATCAGGTTTTCATATCCAGCACCTAACCGCTGGTTGACTTTGCTCCGTGGGTTCCAAGCAGCCAGGAAACGCACGCGCACGCCTGTCTGCACCTGTGCCTCGCCTCCAACGTGCTCTGAACCTGCCGTCAGACTGAGCCAAACCAGCGGAGAGGTTTTTGAGGACAGGCAGGTTCCTACACGTTCTGTGAGACAGGCAGCACAGGAGAAGACAAAGATCCGATTCCTGCCCCTGCAACAAGATCCCATGAATGCCGTGGGAAAAGCTTCACTGGAGCTCTCAATTAACGAAGATATATAACCATAAAACCCAGGGCTTCTTAGTCTCCAGGAATTCCCTGTTTTTAAACCACTCCAGCAGCATTAACAGAGTGTGGAGTATCTCACTGAAGGAGACAGACTCGGAAGTCAGTCAATCTGCACGCGTTTCTCATTTCCCTCCTATGTTAACACCTTTGGAAAGTAACATCCCTTGTGGTCATCCATCTCCTGTGCTATTGACAAATCTCTCTTCAGCCCAGTCTTATTGATCCTGATAAAGAACAAGTGAAATAAAGGCTGAAAGAAGCTGCCTTCACTCTGATGCATTGAGAATCTACATCCAACAGAAATTTATCTGAAAAATGGTGACAATAATGCCAGTTCTAGATGACTCCCAAACACCCAGATAAACATAGCACAAACCCACGTTCACACATTCATCCTGGCTGGCAGGTACCTGAAACATTTGGCTTCCCAGACTAACTACCACATGGCTGAACAATCCAGCACAGAGCTGTCTGTGGGATCTCCTCTAGCGCCGGTGGTGTATCTGTACCAGCTGAGAGGGGAACTGTCCTTCCACATATTGGAATATTTTTCATCCAAAGGCTGAACTCACCATGTATCAGCACCCCTCCCAGTCTGGGTCTGTCTCTGCTCACAGATAGCAGCTCCACGAGGCCTCTCTTTGCACATCTTTGTTATCCTACCTTACAGCCCCGTCTAGCTGGAAGATGCTCTGCCCTTCGTAATTATAGTCTATAGAGTATTTTGGATGTTTCTAATCCTTTCACTGCATTGCTGCATTTATCCTCATTAAATAATTAACTGTCACCTTCTGTCTGTACTGCACACCCCTACACAACATTAATTGATGAATTATTTTCATTTAGCATTCAGTAAAGATGGCAGCAATATATCCAAAACAAATGCAAAGGCTTTTGCTCTTCTTCTGTCTCTAAGATGATGCTGTTTAATTTTCAGGATAGACGTTGCCAGCTACACGATGTCATCTCCATTCAACATATATAATGTTCTACTGCAGATAGCAAAACAGGCTTCTCCTACCTCATCAATTGCAAGCAAATGCAGTGAAAATTAGACTGAAAGGATCATCAAGTTCAGTTTAAAGCAACAGTCAAATCTAGAAGCGAAACAAGGCACCACAGAAAACCTTCCACCAAAAGCAGCACTTGTCCACTCCAGGCCTGTCCCGCGGGGGACAAGCATTCCAGCTCTTTACCCAAGATTTGGCTTATTTGCTTCATGGACCTCTGCCTGTCAGACTGTGGATACAGCATCTGTGGTCCAAATGCTGATAAACCATTAACTAAATACAGAATTAAACACCTCTCTGCAACACCCTCACCCCTCCCCTGTCTAAAAACTTCGACACTTCATAATGATGTTAAAAAAGCAGTTATCTGGCAGAAAAATGTGACTCAGCTAAGTGTCAGCTTTTCTCCAGAGAGGGAAGAAGGGTTCAACCTCACCCTGACACCCTCCAGTTCGCTCACCTCCTCTTCATCTCACTCTGTTCTTTCCTCCATCCCCTCTCCCTTCCACTGTCACTCACGCTGTCTTCCTACCCTCCTTCCTGCTCTGCTCCTCCTCTCCTACCCCAGCAGCCTTGGCCTTTTCTTCATCCTCCATTAATCCTAACCCTGCTGGGTTTTTCTCCTTCCCCCCCCCCCCCTTTTTTTTTTCTTCTTCCCCCAGGAGACAACCAGATGACTAAAGGTCAGACTCTGCTCCCACCTGTAGCTCAGTCTAAAGCAGCCTCGGTGGAAGTGATATCATTCACCCAGTAACCTTAACAGGGATGTACCCCTTCAGCTGAAAGGGGCATCTGAGCCGTGGTGGGCCTGCTCCCCCCTCATTTCTTTAGGCTGAATGCCCTACAGCGCCTTCACGGAGCCGCCAGTCCACACACTATTAATTTATTCCATAGCACAGCACTTAGAGGTGGTTTCATGCAAGAAGAACAAGGCTGTACCAATCCACGGCGCCCATCGCCACCATCACCTCCCAAGAAGGCAGGCCACTTTCACAGCTTCCCCACGGGCTACAGGGGAATGGGTTCAGCTCTTGGGCCCCACAGAGCCACCAGTGGCTTGCCAAAACAAGGTTTTAAACACAGAAGTGCTCAAAGCCAAACTGAAAACCCTACACTCCAGCAGACGAGCGACTGGGAAAGATTCCTGGTCCTGAGCACAGCAGTCCCGGCACACACCATTGCCTGGGAGAGAACGCACCATGCACACCCATCCTCACATCCCTCCCATCTGGTGAGCAAAGGAAAGACAACAAAGTTCCTGCAGGTTCAGGCAGGAACACCCTGCCACGGCGTTTCCTTCACGTTCTGTTTACTAGCACCAGTGGTAGACTACTAACACAAATTTGTGATGCTGCGAAGCACCGCACTAGATGAGAGCAGCCATATTCATCACCTTCTGTTTTATACACAGGACTCCCAAAGATGTGTCACCGAGTCTGCGAAGCATGCACAAGCCAGCTGATACCCTGACCCACCAGCCAACCCTGAGACAAAACCACCTCGGGGGGCTCAGCCAAGCTAAACTTCCTCCATTTATTATTTCACCCAGCAAAATTAAGCTATAAATCTCAGCTTACCTTCCCTCACAGGCACATTTAAACTCACGATACTTGTATGTTTCCCAAGCCTGCTCTGACTGGTACTCACTGACACGGGGGTTGTTTCTGGATCTCCCCATTTCTGTATT